ACAACTTGCCTGGTCTTGAGCTGATGCTCCAGGAAGGCTGATGTCTCCAGCAGGTCTTGTGTCCTGCTAAAAAAAAATCTGTATCTGTCACTGAGTCCCTGGTGAAGAAACTTACTCAAAGCAGGGCTCCTGGGTCTCCCTTGCTTCCAGACTGTCAGCTCACTGGGAATGTGAAACACTTGCTACTACAGCAGCTGTCTGTGTACTTCAGTCTCCAACGTGGGGCTTTATATATAGCCAGAGAGTTACAAAGCTGCAGGAATCCATCCTGGAGCACGTGTAAGCTGATCACCCTTTAATATGACACATTGGACAAGGAGGGAGGGAGAGGGATGGGGGAACAGCTGTAACTCCAGCCTTCAGGAAGGGTCTGTCAGCCCCTGAGTCACCACGGGGGCAGCAGGAGCTTTTTGCTGCCATCCCATGATGAGCTGCACTTGGGAAACAGCCTCTAGATGAATCAAACATCCCAATCTGCCTTTTGGGTCATGGATAACAGGGCTGGGACCTTCTCCTGACACCCTTAAACTGACTGCTCTGAAACTGCTGAGCCTTTTGCTGGGCTAAAAATAAACTGTGAAGTCAATGCTGGGAAGAAGCAAGGAGGCAGTGTCACACGTGGGCTTGGTGGCAGCCCCACTGGCCAGCTTGCTGCTGGGGTAGCTTTTCTGCATAGCTCTGTCCTTTATTCTCCTCTAGAGGAAGCTTCCAGAGGTCTGGAAGGGGATGGAACAATGAAGATAGAACTATTTATTTACAGGCCTGTATGGTTATAAGACTGACACTTGAAATTCCTGAAGAAGTCTGACTAAAAGAGGAGGCTCAGTGAGCCTGGGAGAGGGGGGGCTCTGCTTTGTGCAGATACTGGCCCAGCCTCTGGATCCATCTTCTCCATATCCTGGTGACAGAGAGAGGGTCTGAGGCAGAGCAGAAGTAAAGAGAGCACAACAGTGGGCTTGGACACACAGATTAGAACACCTAAGCAGAGGCATCTTATTGTGAGTTGAGGGTCTCCTACTAAGGTCTACTGAGATCCAACACCTCCATGTTGACATCCAGAACTCAGCAGGACAACTTGCCTGGTCTTGAGCTGATGCTCCAGGAAGGCTGATGTCTCCAGCAGGTCTTGTGTCCTGCTTGCATGTCCCTGGATGTCTAGGAAGCCCCATGGGGTTGCAAAAGGCTGGTTCAGATCCAGCTCTTCCCATGGAGCTCATGAAGAAGCAAATGAGTTTTGACAGACATGGGTGATCAGAGTAGCTATAATTATTTATACTTATGGTAAAATTAATACATGAATCTGTTTTATTTCCATTACTATGGAACTTCTGGGCTGGCTGACACTCAGAGATGGCACAGATGTAATTAACGATTTAATTAAGTCTGTGCAAAGATATTAGCCACTCTTCTTGGTGCATTTAAAGCCACATAACCCCTTGCCCTGGCATGGATGCATTTATACCAGTGCTTTGTGCCATGGTGGTTATCTACATCAGTGGGAAGAGGGAGGGAGGGAGCTGACCTGGTATAAAGCCCTTTTGTACTGGTGAGGTTCCAGCAGCATCTGGGAGGTACCAATACAGCAGGGAAATAATCATAAGCTGTTTTCAGAGCTCACATCATAAGCTCTTCTGCTGTGCTGCTCATCTGTGATGGGATCAGAGGGCAAGTGCTGATCTTTGAACTGGGTCGAACTTCAGAAGTGTTCCTCTGCTCCCAGCCATCTGGGGCTGGACAGCCCTGTCCTCCCCTCTCCCCTCCTCTGCACTTTCCCAAGTTTAATCATGCACTGTTGTGCTGCTGCTGTGGGATTTCCCCCCCTCTGCCTTTAATCTGCCTTGATCCCTGGCTTGTTCTCCGTTTTACCAGGCTGCCATCTGAGGTTTGCTTCCACATCCCCTGTGTCATCAGGTGACCCTGCTACAAGGCAGCTACAGCTCATCCCTTCCCACAGCAGCTCCTCACCCTTTGGTAGGTTTGTGGCTTCTCCCAGGTTCTCTTCTTATGATAGAATCCCAGACTGGTTTATGTTGGAAGGGACCTTGGAGATCATCTAGTTCCAACCCCCCGGCATGGGCAGGCACCCCTCCCACCAGCCCAGTCTCCTCCAAGCCCCATCCAACCTGCCCTTCAACACTCCCAGGGATGGGGCAGCCACAGCTTCTCTGGGCAACCTGGGCCAGGGTCTCACCATCCTCAGTGGCTCTAGTCTAAAATCTCCTCTTTTCCAGTTTAAAACCATCCCCCTTTGTCCTGTCACTCCAGGCCCTGATAAAAAGTTTGTCCCCCCCTTTCTTATAGGCCACAAAAAGATCTCTCTGGAGCCTTCTCTTCTCCAGGTTGAACAGCTCCAACTCTCCCAGCCTGTCTCCAGAGCAGAGCTGCTCCAGCCCTCCCATCATTGCAGCTGCAATAAATAATTGCTTTTCTTGCTTCTCAGGCAGATGTTCCTAACATGCAAGCTGCAGCTAGATCAGATGAAATGCTCTTCAGATAAGAAATTGATGAATCTCACCACACAGAGGCACGTGTTGAGGCTGAGGGTCTCCTGCACAACACTGAACAGTGAGACGTGGTTGAGATAGCACCACTTGGTGCTCCTGGCCCACCAGACTCCCTGGGCTTCAAATAGCAGTGATAAACAAGGGGAGAACTTCAGGCAAAGAAGGGCAAAGCCCAAGTTCTCCTGTGAACAGTCTCTCAAACAAATCACTTACTCAATGTCTAAGATTAGTTGCTCTGGCTGCTCCAGCAGATGCAGCTGCTGGTTAAATTTAGATCCTTAGTGAATGGGTTATTTTCTCTCCTGGAGTATCCAGGTCAGGAGGAAAGTGCAGAGTCATTGGGCTTTGCCATGTGAGTCACCCACTTGGACACTGGGTAACTCTGTTTGTCCTCCCAGGCAACCAGGGACCTGAGCTGAGCCACCTGCAGAGACAGAGAGCCCTTGGTCTTGGCAGCTCAGAGTGGCTTCAGCTATGTGAGGACACCCATATGGAGAAAAAGGGCTGAATTTTACACTGGGAGGGAGCACATCTTCTCATAGTGGTTTTGGTGATAAAGGGGAAATCAGAGATAATGGAGAGGCCAAGGAACATCTACCACAGATCCAGCAGCAGACCTGTGTTAAAGCAAATGTGCCTGGCAGCTGGAGATGTGACCAAGGCACAATAACTGCCCTTACTTCTCTTCCCAGAAATAAAACCAGCATGGCTTCTAACTCAAAACCTACATGGATGACACCTTGATGGCAGTAGCCCCGTGATATTTCACCAGTATGAAGGTGGAGTCAAAAGAAAGGAAACCAGTTAGTGAATATGGATCAAGCTGCAGCCAAACCTCCAACCTGGTGGTGCCACTGAGGTGGGTTTGTACCAAACTCCACCATGTCTTACCTTGTGTCACAGACAAGGGTGGGAGGTGAGGATCTGCAAGATCTCTGTGTCTCTCAGCTCTGGTGGCAGAGCATGGCCCAGGGTGTCACCTGCACCAGAACAGCCTAGCAGAGATGAGCAGCAGGCACCACAGGCATCCAACATTTATTTACTACATAAATAAATGACACTTATCATGGACTTCACAGATTACTTTGGCAGAGCTGAAAGGTGGCTAGGGACGGGTCCCGTTTCACCCACAGGGAAGCCAGAACACACCAGCACCAAGCATCTCAGCCTGCTCTGCAAAGTGGTCCAGATTCTGCCCTCCCTCAACACGGACATAAACTCAGACATAAGGCCACTGAAGTTACTCTAAAGTGCACGAGAGCCCGAGTGGTTGTTCAGTGACAAACCCACCTCTCCCTCAAGGCACTGCGTTTCACACCTGGACATTTCCTCAATGCACTCACTCTGCAGTGTCCCAAGGGCTCCTTCTCCAAGGAATCTACCATGGGCTTCCCTCCTGCCCTCGAGTCCCAGGTCATTGCCCTTCTCTCAGGGTCTTCCTCCTGTGGTTGCACACATGTGTGTATGTGTGTGTGTGTGTGTGCTCCTTCACCTGTGCACGGCTGTGTGCACCAAAGGCAGGTGAGCAAAGGGCTGGCTGGCTGGAGATGAGCAAGACTTGGCTACAGCATCTTCTGTTCTTCAGTCACAGGCAGGAACTTGAGCTTAAACCTTCGTCCACGGCGTGTAAAACAATGCAAGTGGGATTTGGTTTGAGTCCCAGGACACACATCACAGCAGGATGGTCCTTGTGGCCACATGGGTCTCAGACCCAGCCCTTTGGGTCCAAGCTGGGGCCTGGGGCTCAAGCAGTTGGAGGCCAGGTGTGGTGTTCCTTTGGCACAGCTGCTTCCCAGGTTCCCTGCACAGGATGTGTGGGATGGCTAGGAAGCAGCTTGGGCTCCCAGGCTCATTAACTATGCCTGATATTGGCACTAAATAGTTTTTTTCAAGACATTTAGCACTGAAGGGACCTCTTTTGCAGAGAGTTTAAGATCATAACGGCTATTGCTCTGCACCACTGACAGTGAGGGGGGATAATTGCCCTTCAATGAGCCATTCCTGGTCCTCCTTCCCTTTGCTACAAAGACTCTGCTATTTATTTATGAGTCTGTTGGTAGGTCTAGATCAGGCTGGGCCATTTCACAGTCCTTACTGCATAACTATAGATGCCCAACCCTTGGCAGGAGACACTGACCATTTCTTACAGCAATGGAAACATAGGGTGCTTGGGCTCAAAGTGACCTGGAGATGGTCTACTCAGAGCAGGCTCAGCTCCAGCTCATCCCTTTCCCATAGCTGTATGGCTGGGCTACCTTAAAACCTCCAGCCATTGGACTTGGAGTGTCTCTTCTGGGAAGCTACAGGTCCTGCAGGAGAGCCAAGTGCTGGTGGTCCAGGTGTAATGGGAAGCAGGGGGTGAAAACCTCTAGGCCTGCACAGTGCCCGAGGGTCAGAAAAATGATGGGGGATGGCTCTTTTTGGCATTCAAGAAATGTCCTGGGAGCCTACCTACCTACCTCAGCAGTCTGCCACATATGGGGGGGCCTGAGCAGAGCCCACTGTGTCTTACAGGAAACCTTGCCTGCAGCAAGGGGTGACCTGTGCCTTCCAGGTGACTTCTAGGTGGGTGAGCTACAGCAGTCTGATGGCCAGGAGTGCTTGGAGAGCCCCTGCCAGTTGCCAGCCTGGCAGCAGTGGCTGTTGAGGAGGTGAGGCTTGAGGACAAGGCTCAGGGGTGCCTCCTCCTACTCCACCTTTGCTTTGTCACACTCCTCCTCCTGGATGGCCAGGACGCGCTCACGCTCTTTGATCAGCTGCACTCCACAGTAGGTGATGAACCAGATGGACAAGGTGCTGACAGGGAAACCTAGGAGATGGAGGGAGACATGGTCATCTTGGGGCAGCTGCTTGCCAGGCAGGGCCAGCTCTTCTCCAGCACTGCTGCCTGTTGGGTGGGTTTGAGGGGTCCCACAGGCTCGTGATGGCAAGCAACATTTTCCATTGTGGATCCAGCCCTGCAGTTTCACTGAGAGGAGAGAAATCCTCAGGATCAGATTTTAGATGAAGCTGTGCCTCAGCCCACCAAGGCACCATGGACCACACTTAATGTGGGAACATGCTGGAGTGGCTTTGAGGACCACCTTACCCCCAAAACTCCTCCTGGCCCCCAAGTTCCAACTCAGTAGTTGACTTTCCGCCCATGCAACCATGTCCATCATTGTGCATCACTATGACCTTCTGGAAGTTTTGAGTCCTGCTGGCACTGAGGATCAACCCCAGCCTTGTCCTGTACCTAGAGGGGACACAGTGTGCATCCAGGGATTTGTCACCTAGGTGAGTGACCAAGAGCTGGGAGTTCTCCTTCCATTTCAGAAGGGTCTGATGACATTTGGAACCATGTGTCTGGTTTCCACAGCAGAGGGCAGACACAGGCTTTGTTCCTGCTAAAACAGGACCTCTGGAGTGAATAATGCAACCAGCAAAAGCCAGCTAGCTCAGCAGGCAGGCACTTCTGGCACCCTGAGCTCAGAACATCACTTTATCCATTTCCTATGCCAGCCCTGTCCCTGAGAGAGCTGGAGGACACAGGCTCCCTGTGGCTATTTATACCCTGGGCTGCTCAAGAAGACTTCAAATTAATGCCACCACCCACTGATTAACAGTCTGCAGGTCAGGGTGTAGAGCTTAGGACAGGAGGAAATTTATTCAAGTCATGCCAGGGGAGGTTTAGATTAGATACTAGAAGAAACTTCTTCACTGGAAGGGGAATGAACCACTGGAAGAAGCTGCCCAGGGAGATGGTTGAATCACCATCCCTGGAGGTGTTTAAATGATGTATTGATGAGGTGCTGAGGGCACTGGTTTAAGCACTGGACTTGGTTAAGTTAATGAGTTAAGTTAAGAGTTAAGTTAATGGCTGGACTCTATGATCTTAAAGGTCTTTTCCAACCAGAATGATTCTGTGATTCTGAGGACTTGTACCTGCCACCTTCAGCTTGATTCAGGAGTAACTGCTAAAGCAAAAGGAGGTAGGACAAGTAAATCCCTCTTTCCAGCAAGGAGGCCACTTCACAACCCATCTTGGTGGGGTAAATGTGACCGTTGTGTTGCTTCAAGGAGTCTAAGTCACAGCACTGGGCTGTGCTGGGAGCTGTGCAGCTCACCTGGCAGGCAGCTCATACCCCAGAGAGCTCACACGAGGAGGGTGGGAGCTTCCTGCACCTTCTGAACAGTAATTAAGCACCTTGGGAGCATGTAACAAGCCAATGGCCAGGCCACCAAGAGGACTCAGAAGTCCCAGTCCTCATCTTCCCCACCAATGTCACCCCATTATGAGAAGGGGGTCTGGATGGGGAAGGCTGGTAGCACCTTACCTGTCAGAAGGAGCCTCTTGGTGACCAGCAGTGCAAACTCCAGGCTGTTGAGGGCAAGGATGTTGTAGAGAACGATGGCCCAGAAATTTACTGCCCCAAAAACAGCCCTAATCCTCCGAGACATGGCCCCTGACAGTTTGGCCTGTGGGAGGGAGAGGAGCAGAGAGTGAGGGGAAAAATGGGGCTGTAAAGAGAAGGGAGGTACTGGTCCAGCTCCAGTCAAACTCCAGCTGGGATCACAGAGGGGCAGGCAAAGATCAGAGCAGCTTAGAGTGTCCCTGGGATGAAGAAATATAAGGACAAGGCAGAACTCTGCTGCTGGACTCAAGGTGCATCTGGGACTCTGGATTGGTGTTTCATGGTCCCATGGGTGGGGGGAAGATGTCCTACATGGTTTCATGCTGATTGTGATGTCTGAGTGGTGAGGTCTTCATCTGTTGGGTATTGCTGTTCCTCAAGACAAATGAATGCTGCATGGACCAGGGTTGTTATTATTAGCCCTGTGTGCAAATCACTCCCAGCTCCTGGTGGAAATTGCTTCTTAGGAATTTAAAAAAAAAAAAAAAAAGAAAAAGGAAAAAAGAGCTAAAAAAACTAGTGACAGCAGCAGAGTGGAATTGTCACTGGCACATAATCCTCAGGAGCAGCTGCTGTGAGCAGGGAAGGGGTTTGTAGCAATCTCCAGAGAGCACCCAAGCTTTGTGGTGCCTCAGGGAAGGAGGCTCCACTGCCTCTAACTGGAGGTTCAACAAGGAGAGCAAAGGGGAAGGTTGTTTTCCCAAGTTTTTATTCAAAAAAAGGGTCTTCACATAACTGGTTTAGGACCTCCAGGTGTAAAAAAAAAAAAAAGTAAAATAATTGTTTCCAGGATGGACTTCCCTCAATTTTTCTTCCAACATGTCCCTTTGGCATCTTGGTTCCAAACAGAGATGGGGCACTAAGCTTTGGAGTTGTTGGAAAATCATTCATTCTAGTACCTAAACAGTGTTTTTTATCAGAAATCAGATCAAATCCACTCAGAATGCCAAGATATTTTGCAGTACAGGAAGGACAAATTATTTCCATATGGAAATAAATACAACCATTTCCCCATGGATAGACTTCAGATTTTATGTCCACCCGTGGTGCTTTGATGCCTCATTGGGGTTGCATTCCTGGTTCTTTTGGGCCTCTGTTTTCCTTCTGAAAGCTCCACACCCAACCTGAACTTCCCATGAAGCAACATAGGGGCAGGTGGGAACTTGCCCTGGGTGGGTAACACAGTGCATGGGATGAAGGGACCCAGAGGACCAGGAATGTGCTTCCCTTGCACAGCTGAGCAGTGAATCACAAGGATGCTAAGATACCTCCAGGTCTCCAGGCAGGAGGCTTGGACATGAAGCTGCACAGCATCATCAGAGATGTTGCTCTTCAGCCTCAGTTGAAAAAGGATCTGACTTGTTTAAACAAGTTTGAGCTCCCTACAGCTCACGGGTGTTTTCCAGCACCAGAATTTGGCCCCAGACCCACCGATCTTCCCCCACCCACTTTCAGCCCAGCTCCTCACCTCCAGTTTGGCAAAAGGCTGCTGCTGGAAGAACTTCTGCACCCAGAGCTCGAAGTTGAGACCAAAGCAGTTGAAGACAGACCAGATGTAAACGACCTCACAGGGCCCCAGCCACAGGGTGGTGACAGCAAAGGTGGCAACCGAGGCCACCAGCTCCTTCATGATCTTGTCGTGGTTCTCTCCAATGTGGTCATACACATACCTAATGGCCAAGGCAAGTGGTCAGTATTCCCCATAGTCAAGGAGACCCCTCTGGAGCCCCTTCCACCACAAGCTCCTCACAAGCAGGTCAATAGAAAGTGCTCTGGTGAGACAGGGAGGATGTTCTGGCTGAGACGTTACAGCAATAACTGATTTTTGCTGCAGTTCAGCCACATGTGGCTTGTTCTCCTCACAAACCTCCAGCTCCTGAAGGGCAAATACCACCCTTTCCCTTTCTTGCTGGTGAAGGACAGATAAATGTGAGGCTTTGTAGAGCTGTGGGCTGTCTTGTGGTGTGTACTCATGGCTGAAGAGCTGAAGGAGATGCAGATGGAGCTCGGGCCACCCTTGTTACTCAGGATATGGGAGACCTGGGCTCAGTTCCCTTTTCCTCCTGGTGGGATATAAACCTGACTCTTCCTTCCTTGAGGGAACACTAAACCCACCAGACTTAAAGGGTTTTCTAGGAGAGGACTTTCTTATTCCCAGCTTAGGGGAGTGGCTGTTGCACTTGGCGGTGATTAATTCAATGGTCTTAGGGATAAAGAGGCCAAATAAGAGTTCATGCCATAGTGGGATTCCTCCAGAAAAGAGGGCACCTCAGCTTTAGGATGAACAGCATTTAACACCTTGTTGCTATGTGATGAAAAAGAAGACCCTGAACCAGACCAGAGGTGCTTGGTTAGATACTCACTTGCACAGCCAGTCATTGATCCCTCTGTCAAAATGCCTGAAAACGCAGACAGTAAAACCATGTTAAAACACAGAGTGTAACAACACCCTCCCAGGCAGCAGCCAGAGAAGGCACCTGGTTCCCTGGCACATCTTGGACCTTGTTGACAGCAGTTCTCTATGCTCCTTCCTCGAGCAGGTCCCACTACCAGGGTGGTTGTAACCTCTTATCCATGTGTTCCTGCCCAAGAACATTTCCCTGGGCCATGGCCAGGTCTGGACTCTAGGTTCAGTTGAGATTTCCAACCTCCAGCTGCTCAGAACACAGCCCAGACCTCCTCCCCACCATGAGGGCTTCATTCAGGTCACACATCCCACCTCTCTCCATCCATGCACAGGGGCTACTCACGTTTCTGCAAAGATGTAGAGCATGGTGATGCATTTTGGGGGCTGGGGTGGGTCCAGGTGGTCCAGCCTGGCGATGGTGTTGGTGACCCCAAACATGACAGCAGCTTTCACCCAGTCATACACCAAATTGGAGTAGGCCAAGCCAGCTGGAGCAAAGATGAGAGTCACACATGTGAAGAGGAGGATGGGATGTATCACCTTCAGGACTCTGGGGGACATCATGTCCCATGGGAGCATGTAGTCTATTGCAACAGATACAACATCAAGGGGACAGTCTAATGCTGTCTTGGGCCTGCAAAGCTTTAAAAGCTAAGTAGCCTGGCTCTTTGGTTCTAAGAATCTTGAGCCAAAGGAGAATACCTTCTTGGAGTATTTGGGAGAAAACTGTTTATTTGTCTTGGTAGCCACAGAAACTCCTAGAAACTCCTACAAATCAAATGTCTTCCAGCAAAAGATCTTTCCTCCTCTCTAAGGCTTGTTAACCTACAACAAACTCATCACAGTTCTTGACTCTGACCTCTGAGGTCACACAGTGCCTCAGTAGGAGCCATGCCTGAGCTCCCAGGGTGGACAAGGCAGATCTGGCTGATACTACCAGCAGAGCCTGCAGTGGAGCTCAGCTCCCTCTGGAGCAGCACATCTGGTTGGACAGTCTACTCAGGTTTCTTAGGACACCCTAAATCAACCCTAGTGGCACCCCAGCTGCATTAGGACTTTCTTTTGGCCTCCAGCTGCCACTCTGGAGAGACATGGTGTTCTCCAGCCCCTGCTTGCCCTGTGCCAACCTCATGTGGGTGCCAGATACCCTATGGCATCTCAGATGCTTCCATCAGATGTGTATTTGGCCAGCTGAAACCCTCCACCCAGCTTCCAGCTGAATGCCAGAGGTGCCACCACTACTCATCACAGGAGTCAGGGTTCTGGAGGTCCCTAGTCCAGTTCTGCTCAGGTCACAACCAGTGCTGAATGGAGATCAGGTTGTGCTGGACCTTGTCCGTTTCAGTTTTGAACATCTCTGGGCTTGGAGAACCTACAACCTCTCTTGGCCTCTATTTAAATGCTTGACCACTCAAAGAAAAATAAATCCTTATGTGCAATCAGCCTTTGCCTTGCTGCACCTTGCTCATTGTGCCCTGCTTCTTCCCTGCTGGCCTCCAAGAAGAGTCCATCTTCTCTACATACCTTCTTTAGGTGCTTGAAGGCAGCAGCTGCAACTTCTCTGAGCTGCTCCCTTTACAACCTACACCCTGTGGCCATTTCAGGGGGGCTCACAAACACCCACAATGGGTGACCATCTCTGAAGGCATCTGAGATACCCTGTGTGCCTCTTCCAACAACATGGGGATGATTTTTGGAGGTTCTGAGCTCCCTTCCAGTCCAGAAAGGCAATGGGAATGGTTCAGTGCTCAGCCCCTTAAACCCCAAACCAAATAATTTACTCCAGGACCACCTGTCAGACCCCAGCTCTGTGCAGTGTCAGTGGGAAGGAAGGGGTCTTTACCCACACCTGTCCAACACAGGTGTTGATGAGGCCTCTCAGCAGAGATGGATGGAGACCCAAACCACTCACCACTGCCTTGCAGCTGAGAACAGGTGTGAGCACACCCCAGCACAGACACTCAGAGCAGGTGTGAGCACAGCCCAGCACAGCCACTCAGAGCAGGTGTGAGCACAGCCCAGCACAGCCACTCAGAGCAGGTGTGAGCACATCCCAGCACAGCCACTCAGAGCAGGTGTGAGCACAGCCCAGCACGGCCACTCAGAGCAGGTGTGAGCACAGCCCAGCACAGACACTCAGAGCAGGTGTGAGCACATCCCAGCACAGACACTCAGAGCAGGTGTGAGCACATCCCAGCACAGACACTCAGAGCAGGTGTGAGCACATCCCAGCACAGACACTCAGAGCAGGTGTGAGCACAGCCCAGCACAGCCACTCAGAGCAGGTGTGAGCACAGCCCAGCACAGCCACTCAGAGCAGGTGTGAGCACAGCCCAGCCCGGCCACTCAGAGCAGGTGTGAGCACAGCCCAGCACAGACACTCAGAGCAGGTGTGAGCACAGCCCAGCACGGCCACTCAGAGCAGGTGTGAGCACAGCCCAGCACAGACACTCAGAGCAGGTGTGAGCACATCCACTCACCCAAGGACCAGTCCGAGAGGCGGTTCACGAACTTCAGGTCAGAAGGCAGGGTGAGGATGTAGAAGAAGTGGAAGAAGATGTCCACAGCAACGATGGCCCCCAGGTGGAGGAGGGCATGGACCCGGATGCGCTTCATCTCGTCCTCTTTGCGTCTCAGCTCTCGGGTGCTCACCTGCCAGGATGGCAAAGCAGGGAAGGGCTGTGAGGGGGGGTGGGACACACAGGATGGGCAGCACATTCCTCCATCTGGAGAGACTTTCAAGGTCCAGATGGGATAGAAATCACAGACTACGTTCCCCAAATCTCCATGGATTAAGGAAGACTCAAGGGACAGGTGTGTTCAGGTGAGCACACTCATAAGCAGCAGGGATGTGTCACCCACAGCTTCCCTCCAGCAACCCCCCCTCCTCAGTGCTGTGCAATGTGTCTCCTGAAAAGGCTGTTCCTACCACTGAGGCTTCCAGCAGAGCAGACACAGGGCTGTATCTAAGGGCCCTTAGGTGGGCTGAAAACCAAACCAACTGGAGAGCTGGGGTTTCTGGTCTTTCTGCAGGGACACGCTCAGAAAAGTCAGCTTTGCTTAAGGTTGGCCCCTTGCACAGGTCACTAAAAGGGGGAGCAACATCTACAAGATTCCTGTAGGGAAGGACACCTAAATGTCCAGGAAAGGTTGGGAGCAGGGCTGGAATCCCACCTGACAGGTCTTCTAGGGCCAGGTGCATCTTTTTGCCCCGTGTCATTTGGGAGGAGAAAGAGAAGAGTGAGCTCTGGTCTCTGCAGCTTCTGCTGCACAGCAGAGGAACAGCTGCTGGAGGGGCCAGACCCTTGGGACCTGATCCACAGGGATTTCTTTGCTGTATCTTGTATAAACAGGGACCAGGCTGTGCCTCCAGGACCTGCCATGTCTCTGGCTGCTGCAACATGAAAAAAATCAGCAGCAGCTCTGGGGATTAGCCCGGGCAGGCAGGCTTCCTCTCTTCCCTGCATGGCCACAAAAACCTGCTGCTCTGTTCAAAATCCTCTTAGTTTGATTCCTTTCCCTCTTCCCCCCATTCCCTGAGAGGTGGGAGCTCCCCCAGCACAACTCACAGGCCCGTCCTCAAATCCAGATGATTCCTGGGAACTAGAGCCTTGGCCAGAGTTCCCTGTGCCTGTTTGATGCCGAGTGCCTTAGGGATACAAAGAGGTTGCTGGGCTCTGGAGCTGGAGGAGGAGCTGAGGCAGGACATGCTCTGGCATGGAGACCTGTGAGAGGACCTAGGGCTGCTGTTTCCCACCCATCCCCAGGTCTCTGCAGCAGTTTCCCACCTTCTCTCTGGGATCAGAGTTGTGTTCCCCGCATCTCCAGCCCTGCAGAAGTGAATTGGTTTTCCTTAACCCCAGTAAGGAAGGTGCTTTCCAGCTGGAATGGGGCTGGCTAAGCCCTGGGATGGATGGATTCCCACCACACATGGGGGGCAAGTGTTTGACAAGGATGTAGCACCAGTAGGAGCCAAAGGGACAGGTCTGTTCCCTAACTGGGCCATTTACTCCACCTTGGAGAAGGGACTCCAACCTCCTTCCCCCGTAATTACTGTTGGGTAATTAGGCAATCACCTCTGCAATTAGCTGCATCTCCAGCAGTGCAGGGGGGTATCTAGCCAGGAGATGGCAGTGGTGTCCAGGCCAGGACAGGACTCCTGGCCAGGGCATGGGAAAGGGCTTGGGGACTTACTCCTTGTGCTTTTGGGGTCAGTATTTTAAACAGTGAAGGGGGAAATTGCTCATTAAGTGGTTATAAACATGATGGTTTTGGGCTGTGCAAAAGGGACTGGGCCCTCTAGATCAAGCCCTGTAGGGGTGGTGAGGTCTTGGGTCTTGGAGACGCCAGCAGTTTAATGCCCTGATATATAGATACCTGGCTGCAGTGTTAGAAGAAGGCAGGAAAGACCTGATGGAAGCTGGGGAAGGAAGAGGAACGTGGGGTGAGGGGGACACCCAAAGGTACTGCACCCCCTCCAGAGGGGTTTGGACAGTAGGGCTGCTGGAGTCATGCTCACCTGGACTTCAGCCCAACAGGTAAGAAAGATGAAGCCTAAGGATGAAACATTTCTTCCAGCAACCTGAGGAGAAGAGTCCACCTGAGGATTCATCCCTGGTACTTTTCTGCTAAGAATGTGCTGCTGGTGAACTCAGTGCACAGTGAGCATCTCTCATGGGGGGACACCAGAGCTGAGCTGGTGATCTTCAGGGTCAAATGTAATAAAAGTACTTTCAAATAGATCCCGCAAGACCCAAGGGATCTCACTCCTGCACTCTCATCCTTTCACCATGCAGCATGAGGTTGTAAATGGTCTTCTCCTCACCAGGGAAGCTCTGGCTGCTCTCCTCTGCCCTGGCCTGGTTTGTTCTTCTGAATTCACAAGCATTTTTCCAAAATGCTCTTGCACCAGATGTCAAATGGGGTCCAAAATAACAATGCAGCTGTTCTTCTTTAAAAGGAGATAGAGGGGTGGTGGGAATCCTTCCCAGCACCATTGCTGACCAAGCAAGAGGTCCCTCCCTTAGCAAACAGTCCCAGTTTTCTTTGATGACCAAGGTTGATCATTGGTGTAAAAAGATGTTGAGATGGAAAGA